AAAAATATAAATCAAAAAAAATTCTAAAATAATTTGGAAAACTTTAATTCACAAAAAAAAAAATTTAAAAAAAAAATAAAGAAATAAAACATAAAATTTGATTTCTACGCTTTACAACTCTTTGTTGTCTTTTTAAATCACATTTAACATTTTTGTTAGCAAATATATAATTTATTTATTTACACTCCTGCCAACAAACCGAAGTGTGTATGCTTTTCATAGCGTTATTTGCATATGACCATACATATATATGTTTGTATATATGTATTACTGCTTTTGCGTCTACGACACATTTCACTTTAGTTCCACGCCTACTTCTGCTTCCACTTCCACACGGCTGATTGCCTGCCATTTTCATTATTTGTGCCTTTTTGTTGCGACTTTCGCTTGTTTGTGTAGCGACAGCGGCGAATGACGACGACTTTCTTCGTGACTGCCTTCGCTGTGAATTATTAGAAAAGGTCAGTATTTACTTACTAAACCGCATATATATGAATATGCCGGGTATTTTGCCGGTAACGCCGTCACACAACCGCACGCCAAAACGTCAGACTATATAACAACAAACAATCATATATAATGTGCATACATACAGACATGTGTGAACATTTGGTATGTTACTTTGGATGTTTTGGGAAAAACAAGCGAAAAATCACATATACGATGCTTAGCAAGTAAATAAATAAGTAACGTTCACAATATGTGGAATATTCGCCGGTTTGCCGCCGTTTTGTCATGCACCCCCGCGCCGCGGCACCCCCTCTATTTTTGGTCATTGATGGTGCGTTGTTGTTTAGGTATTATCATTTGGTGCTTGCTCGCCACCCGTCTTGTTGACTTACGCATAAATATTTGAGTATTTATGTATAAATAGGTATTTGCGCCTATTCTTTATTATTATTAATAAAAACAATATCTTCATATTTGGCTTGTAAGTATATGTGACTTACATTATATTAGACGTCTTCGATTCGTCACTTGCTCTGCTCGCTTTGTTTGAGCACTGCTCTCTAAATACTCTAAATACATAAAATTTAATGTTAAGTTCGATACAAGAGAGTGCATGGATGTGACTGCTTGCAAAGCTGTTCCTTTCTGATTATACCGGTCCCTAACTTTAGCGAGTTGTTTATTCGATTCACTACTCTCCAAAGCAGAATTGATTCCTTAAGTTTTAATAATAACATATTATTGAATACTATTTTCACAGTCAACCGTTTTTATAATCATTTTCAAAATATTAAATGTATATGGTTACTTCCCTATATGTTATCCGAGGAATTCGGTATTCTGGAAGTTTGTTGCATGATGGTAATATACCTATGTAAGTGAAATTTTAACATTAGTTCTCGAGGTTGACAAATTTTAAACAAAAATGTCCGCTCTGGTTTATATTTTGCCCGAGTAAGGTCTAGAATCGGTGACCTATGCATTGTTGCCACTACGATATCTTTTTGTTGGGGTAGTCTAAAATATTCATCCTGTCCCGACTGTTTTGGGTCTGGTTTTTATCACGATTTTCTATCGCCGTTGCTGTCTGAGCTGGTGTTCGGTAACTGAGCTTCTTAGGAAGTTCTTGGCTTGCGAAGCTTTGGAAAAAAAACTCTCGAAGGGTTCAGGCTTGCAAAGCTTTAAAAATATAACTCTCGAAGGGTTCAGGCCAGTTCACAAGACAGTTTGATCCAAATCTGTATGTTGTCTAGATGCTGTTATGGTATCAATTATGTGTCGGATATACCAAAAATGTGGTTCCTCTCCGATCGTCTGTCTGTACATACGCGAACTAGTCCCTCAGTTTTGAAGATATTGTTCTGAAATTTTGCACACGTCCTTTTCTCCCTAAGAAATTGGAACTGCCGTTTTCGCACCACTATAGCATATACATAGCTGCCATATAAACTGAACGATCGGAATCAAGTGCTTGCATGAAAAATTTTTTCATTTGGTGAGATATTTTCACGAAATTTGGCATGGGTTGCCTAAAGCAGAAATGTAATCTCCTGTGTTTGTGAAATTATTCTGAACGGAACACTATAGCCTATAGCTGCCAATCGAACAAAACGAGCAAAGGTTTTGTAAGGAATTTTCTATATTTGCGCTTCGTGCAACCGAAGTCAACGTTTTTTTTTGTTTTCTATTAAGAAAAGATGAGATCAGAAGGCTCTATTTTTTTGGGAATGAAAATAGTCAGTTCTTCTTTAAAGCTTTACCTTCTCTAACATATTTATTTCATACATTATCAATCTAATCTAAGGCTTGACCTTCTCAGCTCATAAAGAAGAAAACATAATTACCATAATTCGAAAACGTTTCTTACCACATCTAAAACAAAAGCAAGCAGGCTTCTCATTTTTTCTAACCTAACACCTAAGAACACTTTCCTTTTTGCACAATACCTCAAATTAAGTGCGACGCTAACTGCACAAAAACAAAAAATGAAACAAATTCAACGAAAAGAAGTACACGAAAAAAAGGCCGTCGGTGAATGGCAGAGAACACAACCAACGCCACATACTTGTATACACAACGCATTTTAATTATGGTGACAAAAATAAAATTGACTCGGCTGCCTGCACGAAGTGTGAACGCAGAAATCTCGTTGCACTAAATGAGACGCAATGGAACAGCGAAAGCAACAACAAAATGTGCGTTGATGCGTTGAAATGAAGTGGAAGTGCGAGCCGAGTGTGGCGGCACAAAGGTGTATTAACACACATACATACATATATACATGTATGTATAATATAAATAGTATGTGCTTTAAGTGGTTTGCTGGTGTGTGGGGCGTAAGGGGCGTGCTTTTGTATAAATATAGGCACAGATGCAGGAGGCGCTACGTCCAAATGCAGAAATAAGAAACACAGGCAGATTTATATATATGTATATATATATATATATATATATATATATAAGCATATGCATAAATATATATGCAGCTGCTGATATGCAATGTATAACCTCACACATACAGCTCCACATTTTCGTATTAAAAATGTTTGTATATAAAAGACTGCTTATAGCTGCACAGTCGCCGCAAGCGGTCTACCTGTGTGCCCCAACACTGGCTCTCCATTAAGATAGCTCGCACACACATACTTACAAATTGGAGAGCTAAACACATGTATATGTAGCTTCTCCACTTAACATTGAAGCGCGCTCTCAGCAGAGAGCAGGTGGCCTCTCCAGAGACTTATTGGTGGCAGTGGTGTGTAGGTGTGTGTATTATGTGGGTGTTGTTGGCATTTTATTGCGCTCGTATATCCAAAATTTTTATCAGCTAGCATTATTATATATATGTAAAAAGTAAAAAAGAAAAATTTGTGTATTATTTATTTATATTTTAACTCTAAAATGATAAAATAGTTTGAAGACGGCTTATTTGCAAATATATACTAAGTTCAGCATGGTTTTGTATAGCCCAAGCACTCCCGCCAAATTTTTCTATAGCCTAAACTTGGGTCACTACAAGAGTTACAGTGTACAAAATTGCGCAATTATTTATTTTATTTTAATTGAGGAGCTGATAAAGTTGGAAACGTTATAGGTATATAGGAAAAGCGACGAGAATAGGATTAGGATTAGTGCAATCTGTGATCAAGAGCTTCTAAGTCATGCTGTTATTTTTACTTCACTTTTGAAATAATAAGCATTTTTAACAACTTTTTTTCAAAATTTAATTGAAGAAAACCAAATGACCTTGTAAAGCATTATTTCTGACTTTATTAAAAAATGGTGGTTTATTAGAAAATGTGTGCGAGATCTATTTCTAATAAAACCAAAATCTAAAAAAAAAAATTTTCCCAAATGCTAGTCATACTTTTGCCAAACCCCTAAATTTTCACTAAAGCTTTTTATAAAAACTATTAAGTGACCCGGAAAGCTCTTACTGCTTTTGGAAAGGCTCAGTTATCTCACAAAAAAAAAGTAATATAAGAAAAACCAGAAGAAAATCTCGAATATCTCACATACAGTTTGCATTTTAAAATTTTACAGTTACCTATAATACAAATTAACTAAAAAAATTCCTCTCAATTTATATTTAACTCAGTTCAATCAGAAATTCACACCACTGTTCAACTGAAAAGTCAAATGATTCGCAAAAAAAAACGAAAAAATATAATACTTAAGGGCACGAATGGGAGAGAAATTTACGAAATGAGTGCATGCCCTGACGTAAATGCGCTCACTGCAGCGAATATGCAGCAGTAAATACATTTTTATTTTGGAGCTTGCAATGAGCATTAGCAAATGATATAGCGCTATTGTAGGAGATAAGCAGGCGAGAGCAATAAGTGTGAGTAAAGCGATTGGGGAGCTTATTTGAGGAACGCGCGCGCGCATTGAAACTGGAGCGGCAGTCAGCGCAAGGGGAAAGCGAGCGCATACCCATACTAAAGCGCATTTACAACTTTTTAATTTTTCTGGGCGAGCGCGATAATTTTTTTTTCTGATGATAATATTTGTGTATTTGTTGACTCGGCTTTTTCTGTATCTTTTTTACCAACACATAAGTAGTTGCAGTTTTTATATGTGCGCAATGCATGCGCGAGTGTAGATGCAGTGGCGCTTGCAGTGAGTATTGCATGCATATGCATTGGATAACAGTTGCAAGTGAGAGAGTGTATATGTGAGGTTATTTTTTAGTGGAGCGTAAGCATGCAAACGGTGCGCCCCAACGGTGTGTGTGCGCCGACGAGCAACCGGGAGAGCTCGGGAGCAATCCCACTTTTGCTTTGCATGTGTGCTGCTTACACCAACATACGCGCCATAAATTGGACAAAGCTTAAAGATTGCTCGTTTTGCTCTTCGACAATTGCTTGCTAGCGCTTCCCAACATGCGCTGTATGCGCCCCGGCGCGCCTCATCGCTGCGTTCCCTAATGTATCCACACTCAACACCAGCTCGTAAATAGCTACTCTTGTTGTATTTGTATTATACAGACTTATGTATATACACATTTTATTTGATTTTTTTCGCTTAGCCATGGCCTGCTCGCCTGCCTGTGTTTTTCGATTTTTGCCGCGCTCGTTCAGCTTCAGTACGTCGTTCACATTTAATCCGTTCGGTAGGGCTGACACGGTTCTCGTCATAGTTTACTGGCCACTGTGTTTTTATATATTTATTTTTTGATTTTTTTTAGCTTTGCATTTAGCCAGTTTTTGCGTTTGTGCTTGCTGTTTTGTATATGTGTATCTACTGCTTATTTTTTAGGGAATTCTTTGACGCGTTCGCGTTTTCGCGCATACGGTGTGATTTGTTTTTCTTTGCGCGGTGTTTCGGTTGACATTTGCGGTGTGTGCGCGCGGTGTATTTGCTATTGGCGTTGGAGGGCGCGCAGAATCGCGGTATTGCCGAATTGTAGTTGCCGCCGCCACCGCCGCTGCTATTCCACTGGTTGCCCATAAGGCATATCAAAGTTAGCGCCGACACTGCGGAAGCTATTTGGTTGTAGTTGAAGGCGGTGAATGCATAGGCTCAAAATGTTTTTGTTTTTTGTGGTTTTTTTTTTTGAAACGCCTTCACATGCTGCTGCGGTCAAACGGCCGTGCATGCGGCTAGTGCACGCTGGGTGGTGATACGACGAAGAAAAAATGCAAAAAATGTACGAAGAAATTGTAATGATGCTTCCCGCCTACTTCGCGTGGTAGTTGATTGGCGCTTCGATTGGAAATATATAAAATGTGCTTGCTTTATTAGCGAATGCGTGGCGACTTATTGGTTGGCTGTTTATGTTTTCCTTAGCATTTTTCATAACAGCCGTTGAAGAAATACACGAAGTTTTCAACAATGCGCTTACAAATTATTGCATTATGCGCGCGCGTTTCAACTGAACCAATATTCTAATTGAAAAACTAAAAATCAACTTCAACAGTGCATAATTTTATTAGCGCGCATTAGGAACGCTACTGACAATGCATGAATTTGATGTATTTGCCATTTCGAGTAGGCGGCATATGCACCGGTAGCGCGGTGTTCACCGCTCACCCAGCGTGTACCAAATTTACATATCCCTACCTGCATAAATGTGACTACTACTCGTCCTCATATGACTGCCTTTCGTGCGCCACCCAGCTAAACCTCCCTGGAACATAGCTGTGCAACGCGGCCACACATTCAGCTAAAGCGCTTAATTTATATATATGATTTGTACATATAAATGTTAATGTATAAAAAAAGCCAACGCTCCAAAATTTCAATGCTCCTTTCCCTTAGCAATTGTTAAACAAAAACAAACATCAATTGGTTATCCCAAAAAACGAAACCCTATATGTATCTACGCCAACAATTTCGCATATCTGTATATCTCTTGATATCTCCAACATACCCAATTGCCGCTGACTTTTATTTGCTTGTATTCACACATTTCTTTTGCATACACATTTTACTCAATCGCACTTCACTCACACACGCACGCACATAAATAAACGCGCGCGCCACTCTCTCGCCACTCACACTCACCGAACCAACGCAGTGGTATAAAATAAAAAATTTTGGGCGCTGTCGTTACCTTTGCCCCCGCTGCTGCCGCAACCGCTCCACAACATTGCACAATATTGCCTTACCGCACCAGCGTCGCTGCCATGGTTGAAGCCTCATTGTGCCTACCAACGACGTTAACTTCATGCCTTTCAATGGTTGTTGTTGTTGCTCCCATGTATTTTGCTTTTGCTCGTGTTGGTTTCGTTGGCATCGCCTGTTCGTTGCTGCTGTGCTGTTGTCGTCGTCGTTGTCGTTGTGGTCGTCAAAACCGCCAGCACCATCGTCTCTGTCGTAGTCGTCGTCATCATCATCGACTGCGTCTTTTTGTTGCTTGCAGGTTTTTTACTGCCTTCTCGCTTGTCTGACTTGCCGCGCTATTACCCGTATGAATACTTTTTTGCTGCTAGGTTTTCTTCTTTTTTATCGTCGTTTTTTCTTTGGAGTTTTTTGTGCCCCAACCAGCGCCTGTCTTCGTTTTTTTGTATTTTGTACGGCGGCCGCCACTTGTAAGTGTATGTTTTCGTGCTGCGTTTGCGCCAACCGCATGACTGCTGCCATCGAGCGTCCAATTTTTGTCTGCCGGCGAGCCGTTCGCTGTTCGTCGACGTTGTGGCCGCCGTAGTCGTTGCGGGTTCTTGAGTGTATGCAAAAGATTTTTGCACATATTCATCTTTTTGGCCGTTTTCGGTGCGTTTCGTTGGGCGCGCTTCTTCGCGCAAAAATTTTTATATTTTCCATCTCTCAAGAAAAGATACACTACAAAAGCATACACAAGACAATTTTTTTCTTTCTTCTTATGGCAAATTTTTTTCACTTGTTTTCTGACTTTGCCAAAAAATCATAAAAAAGCATTTTTTCACGACGACGACGGTGTTGCGTTTGTTGTTGCAATCGGCACTACTGTTCCTTGACGCGTTTCTTTGCGTTGCTCGCGTTTACCGTCAGGCAGTATCTCGACTTTTGTACTGACTTTTGGTTTGGTCTGGAGAAGAGTGCGAGACAATTTTCGGTGAACTTAGAAAATTTTAAATTTGTGTTTTTGTCGTGCGAAAATCAAAAGCAAAAACAAAACGCATACAACACAAAATCTACAAAAACGAAATATACGAACGAAAGTGTGGAAGTGTTAAGAAATTGAAAACGCGAAATGCAGAATAGAAGATAATTAACTAAGCAAGTGTGAATCGGTATTTGAAGTTAATCGAAAACGAAATATCAAAAATGCTCAATTTAGTGTGATTAACTTAAATAAAAAAATGTTAAACATATTAATTAAAGAAATGAAATATAACAATTGTAATATACAATATAAAAGTGGCATTAAATAATAAATTTATTCAAATTAATATAATAAAAAAAAATTTGTATGTTTACTTTTTAAGTGACATTTTGGGAAGATAAGTCTATTTAAAATATTAGAAATATGCCACATGTTTTAGGAAATTTTTGGAATAACTGAAAACAATTGTAACTCAAAATATTTTAAATCTTAAAAATTTTTAAAATTTTGAAGATTTTGTAATATTAAATTATAAAATAATTTATATTTTTATTTTAACCAAAAAAACTATGAGTTAATAAATTAGTAATAAAATAAATAAATACAATTTTCGATAATTTAAAGAGAGCCGATAAATAAATAACGAGACTAAGGACTTGGACTTCGACTAAGTTCCAATAATTAATAGAAATATGTTATATATTATGTGTATATTTTTATAGTTATAAAATTAATAATTGAAAAGGAAAAATCACAGAAACTGGTAAACATGGATTTTTTATAAAAAAAACATATATAAAAAAGTTTAAAGAACTTACTAAAATAACAATTATTATTTTAATTATAAATAATTGCGAATAAAGAAAAAAATATTTTACTTAAAAAAGTTGTGAAATGTAAAAAAAATTAAAGGGCTTAACCGAAACTTAATAAAATGTTAATTATTATTTTAAATAAATCCACTAATCTAACTCTAGTTATTTAAGAAAAAAAATTGGTTTAATAAAGCTAAAAAGTTTGTAAAAAACACTTTAATTCATTAACCGCGATTTAATTAAATAATAATTATTATTTTGATTTAATTTAATTATAATTAATTAAGATAACACTTATTTTCGAAAAACTGGGCATTTTATAAAAAAAATTTTGTACCTTTGCCGAAATTTACTAATAAATATTTTAATGTTAATTTCTTATAATTAATTTAAAACAATATTGAATTTAGAAGTATTAAATAATAATTTTGTAATCTTTTTGATACACTTATTAAAGTTTACATTTTTGAAAACTGAAATACAAATAAATAAACTATGAATAAAAAAAAACGAAAACAAAGACTGATATCAATCATTTATAGATTTTGAATTGAAAAAATATATACTGCTCAGTAGTGTAATAAAAATTAATCATTAATACAATTAAATAAACATTATCTTTTCCTGTTATTTTGTTTCCATAAATTAAACAAAAATTCTCGATAAATAACATCAAATATTAAAATATAAATATAAAAACAAAAAAGGATCACAAAAATCCAAGTTATAATAAAAAAATATTTAACTACAAAATAATTCGAATACCAAAATTATACTAAAAATATATTTCAAGTGTTGATTTTAGGCAGAGAGGTTTATAATTTTACTATACAAATATAAAAAGTTTAAAGCAACGAAAGCATATTTAAAAAAAATTAATTTAAAAAAATATTTTGATATTATAAATTAAATTATTTAAGCATTGAAATTTAATTTTTCTTGCAGATATTGGTGTCTTTTTTTTGAAAAATTATTATTATTATTTTTTTTATAAATTTATATTTGAATATATATGATATTATATTAATATATATATAAGTAATAGATAAGTTTAATCAATTAACAGGAAATTATTACCAAACATATTCTTTTATTACATATTTATTTAATTTTTTTATTATTATTATATTAAATCATTGAAATAAATTATTTTTAAATTTGTTTCGAAATCTTTTTTCTACCTTTTCTGTGTATTAATATTTTGCTTATTTCGTATTTAAAATATCATTGATCTACATATTTTTTTTATTAAAAATATCATTTAATTTCTAGTTTCAAAGTATATGATCAATTTTATTAAATTAAATTTGAATTTAAATTATGTAATTATGTAATTATTAACCTATATACATAACTTTTAAATTTGAACCAATTCAAAAAACTCTATCAAATACTTTTTTCATTCTTTTGAATATTTATTATATATCTAATTATTGATTGCTTGAGCTTTAAAAATTCTTTTTTTTTTTAATTTTCACTTTATACACAAATTATTGATACAATTTAAAATGAAATATTAAAACAACTTTTATTGTTATATGATCATTATATTATATTATTTTTATATTTAAACGCTTCCAATGAATCAAAAAATACTATTATTGCGATTGCAGTAAATAATATAATAAATTTCTTTAAAAAATTTTGAAAAACTTTGGTAAACTTTAAGAAAAAAAAATACACCTTAAAACTTTTTTCAGATTTCGATTGAAACTTGTTTTGAATTTTTTGTATTTATATTTATAATAATAAAATTTTTTATATAATAATAAAAAAGTTTATATTAAAATTTTTTCTAAAATTGTGACTATATCATTAATGCAATATCGCATTTTATCAAGAAGCAGTTTTTTTAAGTCTACGTTGATGTTAAAAATTTTAAAAAATATATATTTTTTCTAATTAAATATATTTTTTATTATATTATATTATTATTTCAAATTGACGCTTCAAAATCGCTTTTAATGTATATATTAAGACATTACAATAATATTCTTATTGTTTTATATGCCTATTCATTTTAAATTTATTAAATTTATATTTATACTATTTTATATGGATGTATATTTTAATTATAATATAATTATTATAATATATTTATTATTATTTTTATCTTAAAAAAAAATAGAAATATTTGTTCTATTTTATGGGATTAGAATTATTTGATAGTCTCAAGCAAAAACTATAAAGTGCTTATAAAAATCAAAAAAAAAAAAATCTTATATTTTCATAGTTAAAATAATTAAAAACTTATAACTAAATAAAAAACTATTCAATTAAATAAAAAGTTTTTTGTAAAAAACCCAAAAATAGCTAAAAAGTGTTTAATAATACCAAAACCGAATATCGCATAGTCAAACAAGTTGCAATGTTTTCAATTTCTCGCGCAATCTTCCACACTTTCGTTACCGGCAAACGTTCGCGTACGCAACGTCTACCTCTACAACCAAAACAGTACAATATTAGTATCAATTGCGCCTTAGAAACACACGCCGCACACAAACCTCAAACACGAATGCTGGCGGCGTCACACACCAAAGTCTCACTTTTGTTGCGGTGTTGCTGGTGGCGGTGTATTGGTGAATCGCGCGTGATTAGAGCTTAGAACGCATACTCCTTTGTTTCTATTTTCAGTTTGCGAATGCATGGAATATGCAAAACGCAATGTGTACATGTATGTGTGTGTGTGTGTGTCGGCTGTCTGGCTGTGAATGAACGGAAGTTTACGTTTCGGAAAACGTTGATTTTTGGCAAAAAGACAGACAAACTGACGGCGAAAGCTTAGAAAATGAAAATCATATGGGTTTGTGTATGTGTGTATGCGTATGTGGTGCAAAGTGCAGTGTTTAGAAGATGCATAGAATGAAAGATGCTAATAAATCAGTGGATGCCACGAATTTAATGGGTGTGTGCTTTTTCACCTGCTGGTTTTGACTTCGTGGGAATTCGTTAGAAATTTCTTTGTATGAGGGGTAGCAATAATTTTCATATTTTTGAGCGGTAGTTTGTTCCGTTATTTTTTAAAAATTACAAATGTACATCCTAAACTATTTTTTTTATAAACTACTGATATAGTTTTAATATATTTGAAAGCTAATTGGTATATTATATATTTTATGACATATTTTATGAATTTTCAAAACATAGCAAATTGTTAAGTCTATCAAAAAAATAGTATTTAGTAAAGAAAATTTAGCCTTAGATGTCTCTGAGAGAAAACAGGAAAAATATTAAAAAAAAAAAATTTCAAAATTATTTCAAAAATAAAAATTTCTAAATTATTTAAATAAATAAAATGTTCACAAAGAATTTAAAAAACTATTTTAAAAAATAAAATTTTCAGAATTATTTTCAAAAACAATATTTTCAAAATTATTTAAAAAATAAAATTTCTGAAATTGAAATTCTCAACTTTTATATTACATTACATTTTTGTTTTAAGTTTTACGCAGAAATTAAATTGATTATTGTCAATTTTATTTTATAAATTAAATATTAATATCTTAAATCAAATAAAATTAATTAATCGCACCTATTTGCATCAAAAAATCATAAAAAATGTTAAAAAAAGAACATTATTCAAATAGAAATAATTTCAAAACTTCTATTATTCTTAAATATTATTACTTATAAATAATAAGGTTTTTACATAAGAGTATAGTATTAAGAAAAAAAATTTAAACAATATGTAATTGTTTTTAAATTTAAACGAAAAAATTTTTTTTTTTTATTTTTGAATATGTGTGTACAATTTTAATAAATGTTATTCACTTTTAGTATTACAAATTATATTTTCTTATGAGCATTACAATTTTACACTTATTTAATATAGGCTTTAATAAAAAGCTGATTACCAAAATCAGCAATATAATATTTATAATATAAAAAACATAATAGGAACAAAAATTGTATAAAAGTAATCATATTTTTCTTTAATATTTAAAGAATCCTTGCCACCGCTAATTTCCCACGAGCCTAATACCAGCAAAACTTAGACGCAAGCATCTCTATATGCTTGCACCACTACACTCACATGATTCACCTCCTATTTTTGTTTTTTATTGTTGTTATATTTCCAAATCTATTTCTATTTCCATTTATCAACCCTTTCTATCACATCCCGTTATGCCATAGCGGCTATAAAGTCGCGCCGCCGACAGAGCGGCATTTTGAACTTGAAATTTTATTTGCTCTTTTGTCGGTACCCATTCATTTGTTCGGCAATCGAGCGCGTATTCATTCACATTTCATATGCCACCTAATCGCTCTAATCCAACACCGACACCAATCGTGTAGGCACCAAGCACCTACCACCTGCAGCCAGCACAGCGTCACACCCCTCATGGGTACACTACGCTCCCTACTTGTATACAAATGCTACTTACCACCCGCCTAGTACAAAACCAATTGTGGCCCACTAAGCACAGACGCCGACACCGCGCCACCTCGAAAAATTTCGCTGAATTTATTTTGTGTTGTTGCGTTGCTCATCGCGTTCAATCGTCGCGGCTTTTATTTGTTTTCCGTTTCCCGTTTCCGCTGACTCGAAATGTTTTCTTTAGTATTTTAGTATTTCGAATTTGCTTTTGCTGCTTTTGTTGTAGTACGCTACGTTTTCGTGGAAAACATAACGAAAAGTTGTAGTTTGTGTATTTCGACTATAAAACAATATTTCACGTGGTTTTTTGGTCGCAAAATATACTTGTTTAACGACACAGTGCAAAGAACTATAAAAATGCATTTAACTGCAGAATTTTACTTTTGCTTATTATTTACTTTATTATTGTTGTTGACTTCGTTTAAAATTCTTAGTATGATTTATAAGCAATTACTTTAAGTTGCTGTGCAGTCGAATGGTTGAAGTTTTATGTAGAAATTCTTGTTTATGTCACGAAAGTCTTTGGGATCTTCTTTATGAAGCATTTGTGAAAAATTTATATGGTTTTAGTAAAAAATACATAAAAATATACTTGTGATCTATAGTCATCGATTATTCTTCGCACTTCCAGTAACTTCTAATAAGAATATTCTCAAAAATGTCACATGTTTTCGAAAAATTAAAACAACATTCCTATTCTGAAGTTCTAGTGAGATTTTAAATTTGTATTCTCAAATTTGTTATGTAATACCGTAGTAGTCTGAAAGCAAACACGCTGTATTATATAGACTATGATTTTCAAGCACTATATAACATTAGAAAACGCTCTCTGCTATGTGATCTATAGCAACCGATCTTTTATCAAACTTCCAGTAATTTCTAATAAGAAAAACTTCAAAAAAGTCCAGTGTTATCATTTCTTTTAGAGGAATAATGATTTTCACTTTTTATTCTACAATTTGTTATCCAAGACGGTAGAACTGTGATTAAAAATAAATGTTACGAAAACATTAAAACTACAGACTACAAGTTCTATATAAGTTTAGAAGAAGCTCTATAATGGAGTGCAGATAAGAGATTGCTCTATTAGTGTATTATAGTCATGTCTAAAATAAGATTATATAGAAAACAAATCAAAAGGAGTTAAACCCATTTCGTAAACTATAAGTTGTAGTAAAATATATAAGTTCTACAGAGTAAGGTTTGAGAAGTACCAAAAGGAAGGATTTAAGCGAAAGATCGTTCTTAAGAGATTTCCGTAATAGTTATCATGGGTATCCTTATATAATATATTGATTCGATACCATGTTTTGCCATAGGAATCATGCCAGAAATATTAAGAGACTTTATTAAAATTTTGAGTAAACAAGAATTTCTGTAAAATTTCTTCTTGTGTGTTCTGCATTTTATGAATTGAACTGTATAAAAAGCGGTAACATTCCTTATATATAATATTATAATATTTGCAATACCAAAAACTAATCGCTTTTGTATATTTTTGTTTTCTCTGATTCTATAATTACAGGTGCTTTTTGACTGTTTGGAACCTTTTTAATAATTACGTTGAAACGTTGTTGATTCTTATTAAATATTGTTTTGTTGAATCTGAGGACGAACAAAAACAAAAACAAATCCCAATTAAAGTCAAGGAAACCAAACATATGGAAAGACAACTCTAGGACAAACAACAAAAAGGAAAACCTAAAAAACCAACAAAAAAAACAAATAAAGAAAAACAACAAATCGCGAAAACAACAACAAAAAAGAACTTATGTGCAATCGTTTTGTTTTTGTATTAACTTAATTAATTAACTAAATAATTTGTAAATAACTAATAATTTAAGTTAATTTTAGTTTGATTTGGTTTCTTATGAATACGTTAAAACGAGAGAGGAAAAAAGAAAACAACGGTAAATCAAAAAATTAAAAATTTTTAAATAAAAAGAACGCTCAGTTTCATTACATTCAGTTACAAATACAACAAAAAAGTGATTTTCTGTTAGTTTCTCAAAATTTAACAAACAAAATTTACAACAAAATTTGGATTACAACTACAACAACTACAACAACAACAACTGCAACCACAACAACCCCAAAAATAAATAACAAATTATAATAAAAAAAACAGCAAAGTAATAACAACAATAATTGAAAGTAAATATATATAAACCAACAAACAACACAACACAACTACAATAACAACTACAACAACAAATACTAAAAACAGCTACTACAATCGCAACAACCAATAACAAGGATAACAAAACGCAACTACAACTACAACCACAGCAGCAATAAAATAATAACAGTAACAATAATAAAAGCAACAACAACCAACCAACAGCAACAACAACTGAAATAAATATAATAAACAAACTTAACAAACAACCAACTAATAAATATTTATACATAAATAAATCCGCAACTAAGCAATAAACCAAACCAACTCCCCCAAAAAACCACAACAACAACAACAACAATATAGTAACCAACGAAAAAGTAAAAAAACAGCAACAGAAATAAAAACCAAGAAAAAATCATTTGGCAAAAGCATCAATTACAAAATTTTAGCAGTAAAACAACAACAACAACAATAACAGTAATAGTAACAACAACTACAATAGCAACAGTAACAGAAACAAACGCAACAGCAACAACAACCGAAAAAACCGCAATAGTAAATAGTAACGAACAAAATAAATGCAATAAAAACAACAACAACAACCACAACAAATACAAATATTTAATAATTAACAAATAAACTAAATAAAGCAGATTTTATAAAAAAAAAACAATAACTAATAATACAGAGCAGATACCGTTAAAAACCGTGAAATAGCATACAATACAAGCGAACCCAAAACTAAAATACAACAACAAAAATAGTCTCAAAATTTTCAAACAATAAAACGAATTAACGGCAACAATTAATATAACAAATCAAACAACAACAACAACAGTAAGAAAAAACAGAAAAACAAAAACAAAAACTACAACAGCAGCAACAAACAAACCGGTTAACCAGCAAATCAAACAAAAATAAAATAAACAGGAAAAAATAGAAAATCGAAATAGCCAAAATTTGTTAAATTTTTAAACAAAATTTCAATTCTGGACGAAAGTTGTGAAAATTTGAACATTTTAATGAAAAACTTTTAGTTCGGTAATTTTTCGTGTTTAAAATTTTGTTCTGAACTGTTCTGAACACGAGTGTCAAAAAAGCCAAAAACAACAACAACAGCAAAAAAACATACATATGTGAAGAACAACAAAAATTTAAGCTAAAAGCATAAATAAAGAACAAAAAGCTTGAAAGCAAAAAGTTTGAATGCAAAAAATTGCCCAAAAGAGAATAAAAATCGAATCGTGTTGGCCAAAATAAATAAATAAAATATATATATGTATATATATATTTCTTCCAAGTGTTGAAAACCAGCGAGAAAAGCGTGCGCTTTGATAGTGGTGAACATAGTGAAAACACAACAAAATACATATTTTCGAACGGATTTGCGTCAAAAACGCGAAGCAAAAAACTTTTTTTTAAAACAAAAACCGTTTCGAAAATTTGAATGGCGCTTTTCACCACAGACAAAACCCTATTTCAAAAAAGTACGGTATCAATATTTTAGCGCGATAAAAAAAGTGTTTTTTAAAAACCAGTGAAGTACCGGATTCAAGCGAATAAAGTGTAAGTGCTTAAGAACTGCTGCGTGCAGAAGTGAAATCAACTGCATTAACGCAACAAACACCCAAGTTGCAAAGTATTATACCGAAAAATTGCTTCAAGGCAAAATTTATAGCAAACAAAACAAAAAAAAAAACAAAACTTGAATACAAAAAACTTTTTGCAAAAAAATTTTGGACACACATTTTTAGCGTTAGTTTAAAGTCATGGATTCTCTGTGCGAAAACCAAATAAAAATTGCATAAAATATATACACACTCACCCACAAAAAAAAAATTATAAAAATATACAACAAATTTATTAATGTATTGTGGCACAAAATAAATAAAAACAAAAATAGTTTCGGAACAAAAACAAAAAAGAAAAAATAAGTATTCCATTTGTATGCGTAAACTATTATCGAAATAAAATAATACTAACTTATAAACTATAAATATGTCAAATAATAATAGCGGCAAGCAAAAATAAACGTAAATAAGAAGTAGTCGAGTTTTACATATAGAATTGTGAAAAAAAATTACTATTTCAAAAGTCTTAAACTGGTGAAACAACAAAAATAAAATCCTGAAAATTAAAGCTTCAAATTGCGGCAACTTTTTCGAACGGATTTAAAATATAAGCAAAACAGGTAAGCTACACAATATTTCAAATTAATATATAATCTATGAATTTGCTTAAAAAACAATTATTATATTTGAGCGTGACGCTCCCGATACGGTTACTGTGAGCGAGGCATTGTTGCACACGTTGTTAGCCGACGGTTACTTCGTGAAGCATGAGCTGACCTATTACACTGCTCTATATGGTTATTAATAAATCTCTACACAAGCATATTATAACAATACTGACTCAAGCAATCACAACAATCACTGAACAGTTTTTTTAGCAATGATATCTTTCTAATGTCATACAGTGTAACACTAAGGCAATTTTTTGCGAGAGATGCAAATTTATATTAAATTTTTTGAAAAAATAATTAATTTATTTTTACTAAACCTTATATATAGTTTTAGCCGATATTTTTAAAATAGACGAGACACTGCAAAAATGCTCCCTTAGCATGCAAAACCTCAGAACCGAAGGTTAAACAATTCGTTTCACTAATATGTAATCGTGTTTCATAAAATCTTGCTGAGTACTTGAGCTGAGTATATCAATAAATATTTCAAAAATATACTTAAAACAATAAAAAGCCTTAGCTTTAACTGCACCGCAGCTATAATGCGCTTCATATACCATATACAAAAATTCCTTGCAAAAACTTTGATCGTTCAGTTCTTATGGCAGCTATATGCTATATTGACTCGATCTGAACCATCTCCTCGGAGATTGCGTCATTACCTTGGACAATAATCCATGCAAAATTTGATGAAGATAATTATATATAAAATAATCCTATAGTACCTATATATTTTCTTGACACTTTTCAACACATGCGCGTGACTTATGTCTCATTGGTTCAATTTTATTATTTCTTTCTTCACTTTTACGATAGTGTTCACGATAATGCCTCTAAATATATCGTTATTCTTTTTACCTGACACGAATTATTAAGGAAAATACTTAATTACTTGATTCAGTGTTTATGAATTGCTTATATCTTTCAAATATTACAGCGCAGGCGAATAAATATAATACTTGCAAGATTTTATCTTTGGTTAGGTTATGTCGTAGAGTTGAGCCACACACAAAAGGTAACGTAGGCTCCCACTTGAACAGCTGTGTACGCTAGTTCTTTATAATACCTCAAACTCTTAAGTATGGATCACCAGACCCACATAGATCACAGAAGTGTTTTGAGCTTACCAAAAATGCGTTAATGCGTCTATTATGAATCTCAGCCGCTTTATGATGTTCGGCGAAGCTGTAGTGACCGAGTATTACTTCAACAACTTTGATTATAAGGCAGCGTTTAAGAATTCGTTTTTTTTTTTTAATGGGCTACCACCTAGACTACTACTACTTTTGGCCTATTTTTGAGTGAGGTATAATAAAGGGCGTATCTAATAAATGCTGTATACTCAAATACTTTTAGGTAATGCTATTGAAACATTGTTTTGTTAATGTTAGAGAGAAGGCACAAGTCTTCATAATCATTCATAGCTTGCTTTAATATATTCTAGTCGATGTTTGGTGACGAAGTTCGTCTTTGTGATATGCCTATTGAAATAACTGGGTTCTCAAGTAAATATAATAAAAGCTGATGAGCTAGCCAGACGAAGCACCCAACTGCCGTGTGATTGCGAGATCCCTTTGGCTTAGAGTAGAGCACAGGATATCTATTGAACTTCTTACACTGAGCAAAGTTCATCTTGCCGCAGTTCTTCCTAGACATTGTCCAATAGGCGTTCATGCGGTAAGGCCAAAAATTTTGTCGGACGCTAGTTGTCAAAATTGGATGAAGGAGGGTAAGTTGGAAACATTCAGACAATTTCACCGCCATTGTCTGGCCTTTGCAAGACTGAGGCTGAAACATCTCGGTAGTTTTACCTTCGGCAAACCAGAAGATATAACCGAAACTAGCATTAGCCGTTTCAACAAATTTGTGACAGGCTCAAAACTCTTTGTTGATTTGTAAGGGTCTTATGATTCAGCATATAGGAGTTTTTATGTACAACAACGGACCGTCGTTTAAGCTGTCCGAGTGAGATACCTCCTGTAATCAACTTCTCAACCTAACCTGATCTAGTTGAATCGCCGAAGGTTTTCCTTTCCTACAAAAAAATTATATGCCAAATTATATGGCGTAGCCTATTCGGGCTTTGTTTATTTGACAATATTAACGAGCAATACGAGTTGTTATAGTTTTTCCACTGTTTTGTAGAAAGCTCCGAACTCCGTATGTTTATGTCAGAAATTTTGACTTGTAAAAATTTAAAAATAATTACGTTAGCTTTTTTATATCGATAATAGAAGAATTTTAATTTAAAGTGTATGTAAATAGATCTTCTTAGTATTGTAATAAGCATATGAAATATTGCACAGCTTCGGCATTAGATGTTGTATTTATATAATTTATATGTAATTTGTTTTTATGTACTTGCAAAAAAATGTTACATGCATATATAACAGTATAAATGTATATATATATACATTTTTTAAAGCATATATATTTCAGTAATAACTTTTGATTCCGGCAGTTGTCAGGCAGCGCAATTTACTGCTTATATATGTATATAACTGCGCTGACCACGCATATATACTTATGTACATATATACATATGTGCGCCAAAAGTACAGTTGGCGCACCTTTCATTTAATGACTACAACACACATGGCCTTAACATGCAGTAAACAGCAGCAGGCGCAGCAACAACATCAACCAGAAAAAAAGACATTTAATTACAAAAAATAGAAAACACATCACAAATGCGTGCACTGCGCCCAACCCCCCTCTACACGCTATACCCGCTCTACCCGCTCTACCCGCTCTAGTAAGCACTGTTAGGACCTGTGCGCCCAAAATGCTGTCCAGCAACCACTTTAAATATGCGCGCATGATTTTTTTTAAACACAAGTGTATGTGTGTGTGTGGTTATGCATGCGATTGCAGCTCATCAGCAGCAGACGCCTATTACGAAAGGCAAGCGAAAGGACATTACACACACACACACATACAGCCCACACTGTCAGGATATGCGCGCTGTAGTAGCCAGCTTATGCGGCCTGAGCGCGAAAATATTTGGACTGTCGAGCTGCTGCGCTGGAGAAGGGGGGGTTGTGCGTGTGTGTGTGTGTGTGTGCGCGACAGGATGTGCTTGGCTATTGAGTGCGCGAATTAAAAATGAAATAAATGCAATAAAAACAAAACAACAAGGCAAATAGAATAAAATAAAATAATTTAAAGAGAAATGCACTGACACGAGTTAAAGTGAAAAGCAATGCTACTGTCACCACCGCTGCTGCTGCTGTACGTGTTTGTGTGTTGTTGTTGTTGGCGTAAAGGCGGCGTGTGTGAGGTGCAGGATGCGAGCAGTAGCCACGACAACCGTTTGTAAATTGGCAGTTGTTGTCTCGCACGCACACATTTCAGATCTACACATTCATATAAGTATGTATGCATGTATTTATATATACATATATTAAATACACAGCCACCTTTGCCTCGTCCCGTGCAAAAGTATAATTCGGCGCTGCAGCATTGTCGAACATGTTGTAGGCTGGCATAAATAATCAATGCATATACATACATACTTTTGCATGTTTCGAATTGTGTAAATAAATGTGAATTTGTACATGTAGTTATATGCCGTAGTCTCCTCATGTGCGCAGCATGGACATTTGGTCACTCATACGCCATGTCGGTCACATAACCACAGCTAATATGAATTGTATATACTGCTTATATACACATGCATAAATGTTGCAGCGTAGTTTTTTTATATATTTACATATTTTTTATGAACATACACACACACAATTAAATTTTTTTTATATGCAACTGCATATACATATGTGCATACTTTTAGGCGTTGGGGCGTGCCCGCAAATACGCGTTATATACTTGCATAGCCATTTATTTATTGCAAGCGCCTTAATTTATTTGCATTTTATTGTATTCTAACGTGTGTATATATTATTTTTAATTATTTAAGTTTAAAATCGTTTTTTGTGCAACGTCAAGCGCCAACATTTGCATATGCAAGCAATTATAAAAGTAAATAAATAAGCGCTTATGCGCATAAATGGCTTTTGTGCGTGGCATTACAGCACATTATTGCATTAACACCGTGTTGTTGCTAAAACGAAATAAAAATGACTCGAGCGATCAAGCGTTCACAAAATTTACATTTGAGCCTTTTTTGAATATCACAACAATGCAGCAGTCTCTGCTCTGCACCTGTCTTACTACACACGTACTCATTTCTGTCAATACTATTTATGCACAGTTTTGCATAAAAGCTTTACAAAATTTATAAACACCCTGTCATTCTCATGTCTCTATTTTGTTTTCTTGTCGTCTGTCACTTCTTTATTGCCATTATCAAACCCACTAATGACAACTCTCATTTAAATTTTTAATTTATGCTGCTTTCAGTGCGCATTCAACCAGTAATTTCTTTATTTATGCACTTCTTTTCACTCGCTGTGTTTCAACCAGCTTACAACTCAACTCAATAGCGCCGTGTTGCAAAGCTTGTCGTGCGATAGCATAAATCTAAAGTAAAAATATAC